GTGTGTGTGGTGTGAGAGAGAGAGGTGTTACTTGCTTGTCTCTGAGGCCTGCCTGTCATGTACAGCATCAGTCATGCTCTTTCACAGCAGTTTTATTTCATCCACCATTCCCTTTAGTGCTTTGATGGCACAATTCACTGATACTGCCTTGTGGGAAGTGCAACTGTTTGGGTAGCATGTGAGCAGTCTTACACATTGACACATTTTTGTCAAGTGCCTTTAAGCTGTGGCAGAGATTGGAACACAACCAGTCAGTAGAATTATTAAAAGTGAGAGAAGTATATAAAGCGTTTAAAAATTCTGGCTCTGAAACTTTTTCTGACCCTTTTTCTTTTCTCCTGAAAACAATACAACTTTTCCTTTCTTGTTTATTCAACATCTCTTTTCAATCCAAGAAATGACAGGAACACAAATTGGCTCATTTTGTGTCATTTTGTGCATAGTGCAGAAAGCATTTTCCATTAAATTATACACTGGGGGTAAAGAAAAATTGAGACAGTTCTTTTTTCATACTGTTCTCTCCATCTTTTATGTCTACAGTCTTGCCATCAAGTTGACATTTATCACAGGCCTCCATTAAGAGGCCTTAACTTGAAAGTGCATTGAAGGTAGACTGTCAGCACTGTGTGTACTGTGGCAGGGCAGAACAGGCCTTTCAACTCGTTTCCCCACCGTTAGTGTCTGTCTCTAATGCACTGCTGTCTCCTCTCTTGTGATGGAGTCCTTGATTTCCCTTTTGGCATCATCTGATCTCAACTGTGTTTTTTCAGTGGCAACAATCATAACTTAGCTTTGTCTGTCAAGCTCACTCCCAGAGTTTAGAAAAGAATGGTTAAAAAAAGAATGTGTCATCTTGGCAAATCTGGTCCTGTACGCTGCAGAACTTGTGAGCTCATGGTTACGACATAGGAAGCTGCGGTACTCGGTATATTTTGAAGTAAAGTTATGAGAAACACTGCTGCTAGGCAACCGCGCCGCATTTATGCCAAAGGACTACTCGTTATTCTCTCGTCATTCTTCACAGCTAACAATGCAGCCAGCTAGTGAGCAGCTAATGAAATGGCATGACAGAGGGGAGCGATGAGGCCTGTGGGAATATCAACATTTTCCTCAGATGTATCACAAACTTACAAAGAAAATCACTATGTAAAAGAATTATGGTATATAAACTCACTTCCCACTGAAAAAACATCCTCTGCGACCTCTGCAGTTTCTGAAAACATGTCAAACCCTCTGAGCTTCCAGAAAATTTCCACTTCTAAGGCTGTGAATAACACAGGAGCGATCAAGTGGACTTTTCTCTGGAACATGTGAACGTGAACGTGAACATGACCCCATTTGAAGGCAGCAGGAGTCTCATTGTACCTACACTGCGTCCGCTGCTTCTTTCCTACTGATGCTCACTGAAGTGATGCAGACTCCCTATCGCTCCGCACTCACAAGTGTGTTCTTATCTCCACCACTTCCTGGGTGATAGCGCGATCTGATAGCTACAACAGTTACTGCTCTGTCTGATTGATTTACCAATGACCTCTGACACCCTGCGGGGCATTTTAATTGGCCAATGTATAATGAGAAGGCTTCTCTGAAGAAGAGCTGTTTTAGCACCAGAACGGAAAGGGTGGTGGGGGGGGGGGTTAATGCTGGAATTGGACAATCTAATTAGCTGATTTAACTGATAACACCTGAGGCATTGTGTGTGTGGATTATATGATAAAGCTAAGTATATTTATATGCACTGAAACAAGGTGGTGTGCGTGTGTGTGCATGTTGGGTGTAAATAAATGAGTTTCTTTGAGGCTATAAGTTATGATGGGTGGATCGATACAACATCTTAATGCAGTAAGCTGGAGGCTTTCTAGGGGCGGCTCCTTATATTGCATTCAAATCTCCAATAATATAAAACTGCACACGCGCATGAATAAATATTTAATTTGTATGTGCTGGATTTAAAGGTAAATATTGGCATCTTTACATTTCTTATTGATTTTATCTCTGCCTAATAACGTGCTGACTTTCTTTTTATGCTCATGGAGACAGCCTGAAGGAAAATAAATTGCATCATTATTTGTTAAACGTGTCTCCACAAGAGGTTGGAAGGTGGTAGAAGAAAGTGACAAAAGAAAGAACAAAGCGACGACTTTTGTTCCATGCTAAGCGCAACCAGTTTGTTTATTTCTGTTTGCATTTTGAATGTTTTTGTATCTTTTATTAATCATCTTTAAAAAAAAAAATTTAAGTACAGCAAGGGTTAAAAACAAGGGGATACATACCTGTGTATGACAATATCATATTATGTAAATTTTGATGAAGCGTAAGAAGCTTGCGCGGGCAAAATACCTTTCAAATATTTCTTTTAATGGACGCCTCACCACAACAAAAATTTCAACATTGATTATTCTGGCAATTCATTTCTAAATTAATTATTGACTAATTGTTTAGTCTATAATGTGTTGAATATATAAAGTGTCCCAAGTTGACATATTCAAATGAGCTCCTTTGTCTGGCTCAGTTAGAGCGGAGGGTGATTCAGTGGTGATGATTTCAAATCAGTACAGAGTTATATATTGCAAAAAGTAAAACATAAAAACAAAAGTATTTAATTTATATTGTCATCTCTGAAAAATGCCTAATGTATAGTCAATGGATGGCACTACAGTTCCATGGCAGATGTTAGCTCAGACCTCACAATACATATTTCAAATGTCCTGGGGCACTAAAATTTGAAGAACTGCAGATGGAAATAGTTAAGGGATAATATTTTCTACATTAAAGACTGGTTGAACATTATTTTTATCTCATTTCATCCACGTGTTAAAAAGAGGACTATGATGCTTTTTAGTCGAGATCGGAATGCGGTGTCATTTCCGACAGGTATCTGTGATCTGCCACTTGGAACCCACGTTCATGGAGAGAGAGAAGGAAGAGGGGGAGGAATGCAGTGTTTGTGTGTGATTTCAGTGAGAGTCCATGATATGAGACACAGCTCAGATTTCAGTGGTAACGATAGGCCTTTCAAGTTTTTTTCTCTGACTGAAGTAACCGTCAAATATTCATCACAGATGAGTCCTTATTGTACTAGAACTTCTATTCTTGGCTTGTTTGCTCCCACTTGCCTCGTGTCCAGTTGTTTTCAGCCACCAGGCTGCTGTCATGAATTTCTCTGACATGGTAAAAGCTGGTCTTTCCTGTAAGTGTTTCTTTTTTTTTCTGTTAGTGTTCATATTAGCGTGATGGTTTGATTGTAGGAGGGGAATCCGTAGGCTCATAAACAGTCTGAACCCCTAAATAGCTGGTGACTGATTCCAGGTCAGCGATGTTAATCTCAAAGTGTTAATCTTTAGTTGAATCTGTAAAATTTTAAGGTAATTCTCTTCTATTGTTTTCTACTTGTTTATTTTCCATCCATTTTCCTTTTATGTCTTATAGCATATTTGTTGTTTCCTCACTCGAGTCTCATCATATTTCATGCTGCAGTGGACAGGATGCAGTCTTATGAAAATTTATGTTCACCTTGTTGATGTTCTCTCTCTCCTCCCTTTTCCACGGTTCACATTTTCCATTGTCTTCCTTGTCTCGTCTTTTGCAATCCCCTTCTCTTACACATAAAAAGACTGTGAGGAGAGTGTACCACCAGAGGAGCCACGTAAGTCCAAGTAAAGCTCAGTGTGTTGCCGTGTTTGTGTACTCTGGTGTGTGGTGGGTTGTGCCATAGGTGTGCATGTTTGTGGATGCTGTATCTTCTGGTGGAGCTCCCAGCATACCTTTTGGCAATTAGATACAGGATCCCTGAATGAAGACCAAGCTTATGTGGAAAAATAGGAATACCTCCTCTCCTCTCCTCTCTTTTCCCGATCTCGCCATAATTACAGCACCAGACAATTACCCAGCATACTCCTGGGATGCACATTGTGTTCTCTTAATCTGGTGTTTTAAATAATTAAACCAACCATGAACTCTGTTTTGTGAGCGTGTCTCAAGAAGGTTGTGTATGAATGCACATATCTGTGTGTGACTCTTTAGGTTCTTGTTTTGCTGTTTGTGATCCTGAATCTCGTGATGCCTCTCCTAATAACCAGTAGCACTATCACAATCCCACCTACCTGGCTGCATGTGACCCAGAGCAGATTTACTTTCATCAATAACCTTAACACTGGTTGTGTGGCTGAGACACCTACCGTACAGATATTACTCTCTGGTGTGAGCAAAACAATCCCATAATCCCCTTCTCCATGTTTTTGTAACAGCATGTCATCCTGTCATGGTGGACTATGTCATCCACCAAAAAAGACTATATGTTTGTGTGCTGATAATTTTAAAATGGCGACAGTATTACAACTAAATTCATGAACAGTGTTCAACTTAAGAATATTTACTTTCTTCCCTTTTCTATGGACACGGACATTGAAAAAGCTCATCTCATAGTATCTGAATTTGTGTACATCATACATAAGTCAGCATTACACAAAGTGCACACATCTGTGTAAATCTTGCTTTTGTGTTTTTTGTGATGATAATCCAGTGCTTTTGTCTTCATCAGCCAAAAAACAAGAGGAGGATCTGGAGGATAAGAAAACCATAAAGAAGAGAATTAAAGAGCTCAAGGTGCTCGATCCCAAGATTGCACAGAATCTATGTAAGTATTTGTTTGCTCTCGGCCAACTCCTCCTGCCATGAATGAGATTCATGCTCATCCCTGTGTCTCAATGTTTTAGTGTTCTGGGCCTGTCTGTAGGTCTAGCCTCACTTTTGGACTTCACTCCTGTATTTCTTATAATTTGTTGTTTTTGCATGTTTTAAAGTGATCTAAAGGGAAATGTTGCCAGACAATGAGTTGTATTTTGCTTTAGCAATTAAAGCAAGACAACTCCCTCAAGACAATTTATGTCTTCACACACTTCGGGACACTGCCCAACCCAAACCTGACAGGCATTCGGTTTTTGTGTCCAAACCCATGCAAAGCATATTTTTTTCTATGATTTCAATGTACCAAACCTGACCTGAACCCTAGTTTTATTTAAGACTTTATCTCCAAACCTGTTGGGACCTAAGCTTTCACAATCACATCTCTCACACACACACACACACACACACACACACACACTCGCATGTGACGCATGCCTGGTCTTAAAATGACGGTGTTAAATGCACCCCTCAGTAATGAGGAACCAGCTGATCTCTTAAGTACTCTCCGATCTTAGAACCTCATCGGCTTATATTATGGGGGAGCTGTGACCTTTATTTCACGTATTGAATGAAAATGAGTAAAATCAGCCCAGTAACAATGATACATTTTGCAGTGGAAATTGTAGAGTGGAAATGAAGAGAGTCAGCGGTCTGTGTTCCACCATAGGACATAAAGAGTTAAAGCTATGATTGAGAGGTTATTTTTTATCTTGAACACTGGCTTCCCAACCCTTGCTTCAAGTTACCTCAGTAATTGCTAAGACTTTTCAGTTGGTGATGTACTGTAAAATCAGACAAATTGATTTGTAAAGTTCAAACCTAATTTTATTTTTTGGAGAATTCTGTATGTCAATTATAAGCTAGAACATTAACTGCTACTCAAACCATTACAGTTTTTACCTTCAGATATTACCTATAATCATTAAAATCCTGCATCATCTGGCCTATACTCACGCATGTTGTAAATGTCAGGATTTTTTAAATGGCTCCACTGGCGAGTCTAATGACTTATCCCGACAAGGCATTTGCCATTCAGTCCCTGGTGGTACTACTTGCTTGAGGATCTCATGCTTGCTCAACCAGGGTAATTTTTCATATCACTTTTTCTAAAACAGTTTTTATGTGTGGCTGACTTGTGCATTGATGTATCTTTCATTTTATTTCTCTGCAGTTTCTACTCGCAGCTCCTTTCTAACGTCCTTGAGCTGTTCTTTTTTCCTGATCTCACATCATTTTTTTGTCCTGCATTTTATCTCCTTTGACTCTCCGTTTCTAAGTTTTGTAGTTGTCTGAAATTGCCACATTACTTGTCATTTGTTAATCATGTGCATATTTACCACAGCATTTGTTTTATGTCTAGCCATCTTCCTGGGTTCCTTCCGTATGCCTTATCAGGAAATCCGTTCCATGATAGTGGAGGTGGATGAGGAACAACTCACTGAACCTATNTTACAGTTCTGCATCTGGGGATTAACTCGTCTTGGCCCAGCGTTGGGGTTACACTGGCTATGTAACATGATTTTTTTTTTTTTTTTTTTTTTTCTGTCTAGCCATCTTCCTGGGTTCCTTCCGTATGCCTTATCAGGAAATCCGTTCCATGATAGTGGAGGTGGATGAGGAACAACTCACTGAACCTATGATCCAGGTAGAGCAAGTTTTAAATTAAATGTGAAAGGTTTATAACTTGAGTTACCAATCTGACATGAACCCTGGACAAACCAACTAATTCTGAAATGGAAATTGTATTGGAAATTAGCTCAACCTACACTGTGCAGCTGCTCAACTCGAAGCAGGAGGTTTATTTTCAGTGTTGCCAATCTCCAACTCCTTTAACCAGGGTCCTCAAGTCCTTGCAGAAAATGTCAGTCTCCTTTTTTCTCTGTCAGGTGCATTCCCATGAACTGACATTACTCATTAAAATTATCTTTTTGTGAGAGAAGTCTTCTTAGCATCTACTTTCAAGTTTTCCCAGACTTGATAAAGGTAGCAGGAAGAATGTATTGACTGCTTTTATCACAATTTGAAACACACCACCTCTTGTTGTTGCCAGAATGATCAGACCCAATTATGATTACAATTAAGGCTGCACATATATTACACCCTGTATTAGGACAGATCATAATGCCTGGTATCAATACCTTCTATTTCTCTTTTTCTGTCTGTCGATCAATCTTTCTTCTTTATTCCTCCAGACTGTAAACTCTCGGATTCTGAGAGAGTTTCTGCTTCTTGAACTTGAAGAGCAAAATAGTACATATACTGTATAATGCCGTGGCTTTGTCTTGTAAATTGAATTTATAAAATGGATGAAGTCGCCGATTTTGCCCATTTGTTAATAAATTAAAAATCAAAAACTGAAATGTCTTATTTACAAAAGGATCCAGATCTTCAATTAGGTACTTTGTAGAATCCTCTTTGGCAGCAGCTTCAGTTTTGAGTCTCTACAAGCTTTGCAGACATGGATTTGGGCAGTTTTATCCCATTATTCCTGATAGATCCTCTCAAGCTCCATCAGATTGGATGGTAAGCGTCTGTGAACAGCCATATTCAGATCTCTCAAAAGGTTTTTCATAGGGTTTAGGTCTGGGCTCGGGCTGGGCCCGTAAGGGACAAAGAAAGACTTCCCATTCCCACAGTCACTTCAGCATTTTGGTGGCCAAATACTTCAGGTCTTTATCTTGCAGAAAGTTGAACCACCACTGCAGTCTTAGGTCGTGTGCACTCTGGAGCAGGTTTTATTCAAGGATCTCTCCCTTCTGTCAATTCTGACCAGTCTTCCTGTCCCTGCTTTTCAAATGCACCTGCATAGCATCATCCTACTTCTAACATGCATCAACGTTGGAATGATAGCGGCCCAGTGATAAGCGCAGTGTCTGGTATTTTGTCTCATCAAACCAGATAATCTTTATTATCATGCTCCTTAAAGTCCTTAAAAATCTCTTTGGCAAACTCCGAGTGGGCTGTCATATGCCTTTCATCTGGTGAAATGGTGCTGCTTAGATAGTGCTCCTTATGGCAAGTTCTCCCATCTCTACAGACAAGCTCTGAAACCATTTTGAGAATGACTGGTGGGCTCTTGGTCTCCTCCATGACCAAGGCCCACCCTGCCCGGAGGCTTTGAGGCACAGCAAATGACCTGCTACCCTCTGTCTCCAACTAGGCCCTGTGAACAGTCTGCAACAACTTGTCAGTAGACCGTAGGCTACTAAAAACAATGTAAGGACAGAAGGTCAACAGTGTAGGAAGGGACAAACAAGTAAAGGAACATTATTATCAGTTTTGAAGGGCACTGGTAACTGGTGCAAGGAGGAAATTTGCTCTACTTTTGTAGTTTTTCTCAGAACCTTGGAAGCCATATTTTGTAAACGCTAGACATTGACAAGGGCTATGTAGCAATTAAAGATTTAAAGTTTTGAAATGGCTGTAATCAAAGGCATGAATAAGCAAACTATAGATGCAGTATGTATTTGTGAAGACACGTTTAAATCAGCTATAGTCACCATATGTCACCAAATTGAGTTGATTTCTTACATTTAGTTCTCCAGACGTTGAGGAAGTTGACTAATGCTATAAGATGGTTAACCTGTTATAAGTCAGTGTGGTTGTGAGTAAGCTGAGCTGAAACAAATGAGCTACAAATAAAGAATTCATTTGAATCGATTATTGTTAATTACAACACACACATATAGTCATCAAGGCCAATTCCATTATGGTACATCAATAAAAACTGAGGTAATGGAAGTAGCAATATTTGTCCTGACTCCAGGCATGAAAAACAAATGTTCAACCCAATTTAAATGCATCAGACCAATGTATTTACCACATAATAGCAGTATTTGTTGAGATGGCTATTACATTCAAATGAGAATGCAATCAGTGTGGCCTAAATAATTTAACATTTTTTCCTTTTGGCAGTCTGAAAAAGCCAATCACAATTTCACTTTCAATTGTCTATACAAATATATGTAGCCCTAAGGATATAGTCCTGTGTTTGACAATTAAATCAATTTTATTGCAGTTACAAAACTTTACAATTGAAACTCACCAAAACACAAACAGAACAGCAGTTGTATAGATTTCTTTACAAGTGCAGAACAAACAATGGTAGTCATTCTTTATCCATAGCTCTTTAAGCACAGATATGGAAACTACCTTGCTGTTTGAATCCATATATAGAGAACTAAAGGTGTAAACAGTCACATTTTTTGGTGCTAATGAACATCAAACTGAGAAGGATATAACGTAGTTTGACATACAATTAGTCAAATTAAGTGTGTGGGGCATCATGACATCATCACCGCAAGGATATTTTGGAATAAATGTGTACCGGTTGTGCTTCTTTTTTCTTTTCTACTGTGATTTCCTCTGTGCTACTTCTCATTACCTTTCTTCCTCACTCTTCTTTGTAGAACCTGGTAAAGCATCTGCCTGAGCAGGAGCAGCTGAACGCCTTGGCCAAGTATAAAAACGAGTATGCAAATTTGTCAGAGCCTGAGCAGTTTGGGGTTGTGGTGAGTAAATACGATCGTACACAAACTGGCATACACACAACTCTCACCTCCACACTAGCTGATTATAGCGATACCAACATGTACAGAAACAACCACAGGCAATATTTTTTTTAATTGATACAGTAATGTGAACTTGTTCTTTTAATAACATAAAATATTTCCCTGAATGTCTCTCTCCCTCCACTTCTCTCTCTCTCTCTCTCTCTCTCTCTCTCTCTCTCACNCACACACACACACACACACACACACACAGCATGAATATACTAATCCTGAGCTTTTTAAAATTCTATCTTTTTAAGCCTTAAGAAGAAAGACGGGACACCTGTGGACTGCTGTGCTAATTTATGCACATTAAAGAGCAGCACTGCTGTGTAATTATGTCTGCATCTTTTCTTTTCAATAGAGCTTTTTTAGATTCGTGCATGAGCGGTTGCAGTAATTTTTTTTTGCGTGAATTTTGTATTTCTGCCTAGTAACCTGGTTACTGACAAAACATACAACAACACTGTTTGTAATCACCCATGAAAGAGAGTCTTATCACTGAATGAAAATGAAGCGACCGAGTGGTTAAGGGGGGATAGAGCCTGCTCAGCTGTTGTGTATAGCTCATCAGGGAGACATAGAACAAAGGGGAGCGTACTTACATAATGTTGCTTCGCTGTTGCGCCTGTGTGGGCCCCATCAGATGCTTTCACCTATCAAAAGCTCAGGTTCAAAGGGAATTTTTAATTTGCGATCTTTACCTACTTATTTTATTTTATTTTTTTCAATATCCGCAACTCTCACTGTTGATTTGAACCCTGCCTTGTGTGGAGTAGTTCTGTCTAATCTAAGAAATAGACCTGATTACTTTATAAAAATCCTCATAGTGCTTTGGACACAATGAAAATGTGGTTGTTTGTAAGATTATTTTTGCAGCTACACGAAGAGATCTTTGCGACAAGAAGTCAAAAAGGCAAAAAAAAAGTCTTGATTTCCATCAAACTCCATGTTATTAGATTAAAGCATCTTCTAGTTTTTAAACTACTCAACCTCATGCAGTACAGTATGCTTTTATTGCTGTACATGAATTGTGCTTGATGACTTGCCGTCTCTGAAATTTGAGGAATCACTCTGTTTACCAGCATGTGCATCCTCAGGGGCTCAGCTGCAGTCACGGTCCTGATGACTGGCAACTCTTTGAATTAAAGTCTTTCATCTGGGATTTTAATCGGTCTTGACATTCAACACAGACATTTATTACAAGATGCCAAAATATTTACTCACATTACTTTGTTTTGTAACACTATTTGTTGCATATCATTTCAAATTTACTGTTCATACTCCTAATATGTGAGGAATGTCAGAAGCCTACAACCTCACTAAGCTCATTTTCCCATAATGTCGTTAATTTTGTTAGTTGTGTTTTCGAATATATCAAACCCCTCCCTTCTCGTTGTAAATTCTGCCTTGAACCGTTCAGCTTGGTCCAGTAGTCATCATGGCAGCTGTTGTAGCTGCACTCGTTCACTTCACAGTGCACCTGATTGTATTAGGTTTCTTCTTTTCCCATGATTTTTTTCTTCTTACCATTATCTTCCTATAATTTATCAGATCTTTTGAGTTGTGTTTTAGTATTGTGTATATTTCATTTGATTAGTTTGGTAATTGTCTTCACCTGCCCTGTTTCCTCTCCCTGCTGTCCTCTCTTACGAACACACACACAGACACTCACTCACTGACTGAAATAGTCATTTGATAACATTACAGTAGCTATAATTAAACCCTTGATGGAGGACATCAAACCGCACAGCCAGCTGTTGTGTGAAACAGACAATTTGAACCTGCACCCTCCCCTCCGCCATGTACACATACACAATCACCGTTGTGGCCAGGCCCTGGGCCCAGTGCAATATTTTCCAATTTTCTCTAATTGTGTGAGAGTGGTAATCCAAGGCAGCCTATTGTATATTCCACCCCCTCCGTTGCCCACCCTATATGGACACAAACTCTACAATTAACTTACCAGACCTGGGTCCCAAATCAAATCACTGCCAGCATCTATTACTACTGCCTAGCAACACTTTCCAGCGTGCTCGTTGCATAAATGCCTTCTAAATTAGAGCGGCTGAATGTGAGTTTGCCAAAAGTGTGATTGTATTTACTATAAGTTTGACTATGTTCTTTGACCTTATTCTCTGATATATTTTCCTTACTCTTGCTTAACTCCTCTTTTGTTTTATAATTTTTTTAATTTTCCTTCTTATGCTAGTTTTTTTCTCCTTCTTCCAGATGAGCAGTGTGAAGCGTCTGCGTCCTCGCCTCAGCCACATCCTCTTCAGACTGCAGTTTGAGGAGCAAGTAAACAACTTGCGTCCAGATATCCTGGCTGTAAACGCCGCCTGTGATGAGGTCAGGAAGAGCGGCTCCTTTGGCCGCTTGCTGGAGCTGGTGCTGCTGCTGGGGAATTACATGAATGCAGGCTCTCGAAACGCCCAGTCTTATGGCTTCGACCTCAGTTCCCTCTGCAAGGTGAGGGTTAAAACACTGACCTTTTTTCCTGTTCCATACAGCTTGTAGACCTCTATTCAACCACGGGCAGTGGTTCAACATGTTTGATGTGTGCACAGTACATCACACATGGAATTTTGTTTTCTTTAAATGATCCACAGCTGTGTTCTGAGCTGAATTGTGGTAACAGAAAGAAATAGCTTTTTAAAATGAGAGCATCATCACAAGATTCCAAGAGTCTACGTTTGATTTGAAGTTCACTTGAAGAGCCTTGAGGGATGTCTGCCAGTTTAACATACATGTTTTCCAATACCTTATACGTTCACATAATATATGTTATATTGATACTGTATATAAAAGCCCTAGCTCCGACTAATTCATAGTATTTAGGAAAGAGTCAATGTGTTAGTGCGTGTGTGTCATAATCTGTGTAGAAAGATGGATGCTGAATCTCACTTCCTCCCACTAACACAAACAAGGTCATCTTAGGCCAAAGACGTCACTTGTAGCGAGAATCGGGAGAGATGAAGCCATGGTAGTGACGTCCCATTGATACACAGGCACAAACAATCCCGAATCAATTTCAGCTGTTAATCATGTTGTTTTACTCTTGTTTTTATTTATCAAGTAACAAATTCAAACCGAACTTGAAAAGCACAAAACAAATTTAAGAAAGAGTTATTTTGGCTTTATGACTTTTAGTTTGGCCCATGTCCCATCCACTGACATGGAGGAGGCAGGGTTTATGACCTAAACTGCAGCCAGCTACCAGGGGGGTGATCAAGATACTTTGGCTTCACCTTTGGGGAGCCAACCTGTCGTCCATCTTTATATACGTACAGTTGATGTGTGTGTGTGTGTGTGTGTGTGTGTGTGTGTGTGTGNGTGTGTGTGTGTGTGTGTGTGTGTTAGGTGTCTGGGCAAACATATCTGTGTATTTTTACACTTGTGCATCTGTATTTTTCTGGAGGTGTTAGCCTCTCTCTTTTTTGACTTTGCCGTATCGGGTAACTGATCTGAAGACACTGCTGTGATGAGACATTTTATTTGAAAATGTTTCATTTGATTGAACACCATCAGCCTCACAAGCTTTCTTTCCCCCTCTATCTGCTGGCATCTTTCAAAGCAGCCGAAACCCAGGGATTTCTTTATTCTCATTCTCCTGCTCCAAATAGATAATTGAGACAATGACCAATATCCCTTTTCAAAGTGCACACACCCTGCAGGACTCCCCAAACTGAGTCGGGGTGAGACACAGGGAATGTCTGTACCTGTAGATTTTATATGGCATTAAGACAGGACTGTAAGTTGTCCTGTATGGTAGTGATTGTGACAGAGAACAGAGTGTGGTTGTCTAGAGACTCCTCCAGTGGTTACATTACAGCTGGTGGCACACTCACTGCAGTTTCCACAGTAACGACCACTGCAGCCATTCATCACTGCCACCTCTCTGCCCCGTTAGACTTGGGTGCTTATGTTCATATAAACACCAGTGCATGAGTGTACACAAACACTGGCCTCATGCATATATGAATGATGGATTTGCTGTATTAACAGAACTGTAATATAATTAGGTAATAGAAGTATGTGAAGGAAAAACTTTTGTATTAAGCACCTTTCTAATGCTGCCCCTCTGTTTCCTTATCTTTCGTACTTGTATGTTGGGGGGCCAAGGTGTTAGTGGATGTCAAAAGCAGGATGTATATAGAGGAAGACATCACCCTTCATGCCTGTTCCCGAGTTTGACAACTTAATTCCACAGCACACTCCAAAGCACAAGAAAATTGCGCCTAACCCAATTGAAAAAAGAAAAATGTTTACATTGTCAACTATGATTGCATCCATCTAAAATCAAAAAGAGACCTTTTATGAGTGAGCACTTTAAGCTTTTGAAAAAAAAAAGAGAAAACAGAAATGAAATGAGAGATGAGACTGTTTGATTAGAGGAGATAATACAAACATGATTAAACCCAGCGGGGCTGAGTACACTGCTGTCTACCAATAGATCACCTAGAGAGATACACAGCAATGCACTCCACAGGAGGGATGTTTGGCGGGGATACAGAGAGACATCTTGGAATTAGACTGCAGAAGAGCGATGATGGAAATGTATCAGAGAAATTGAAAAATTGTTACGTGTGGGGAAGAGTGGCATGTAGAGTTCAAGAGGTCATCACATTGTGAATGTGCTTCCGCTGCATGACTACGAGATGTGAAATCATGTGAGGCACCACCAACACTCACATTTGTAGAGCCACCGAAAGGGTTTACAGTAGCTGAATGAAGGCAATGCTACATGCTCCTTTGTCACACAACAACCAGAGAATGTGGGAACGAAAACAAAATCTGCTAATTCTCTGCTGTGGCAAAAGAATCTGTTCATGCTTTTGCAGCAGTGACAGCGGTGGCCACAGAGACATTATGTTTCCAGGGTGTACATCCATACATCCATCCCACTCTTGTGAACGAAATATCAAAGCAATGCATTGAGGACATTTCTGCAGAAGTGGTACAAATGCTCACCTGACATAAACAGTGAGCTGATTAGATCTTGGTGGTTAAAGGTCAAAGGTTACTGTGATCATAAAAAACATTTCACGTGGCCATAACTCAAACATTTATTATGACACAATTTTACATAAATGTCTACTTGGATCGATGGTGATGTGATAACATTTTATTTTCAAAAGGTCAAAGGTGAAAACATCACTAAGAACATTTCAATCAACAACAAATCCATACTTGTCAGACTAAGCCTGTGACATTTGAAATAACAAGGGAAGTCAGAGGTACCACTTACTCTCTGCTAATCACTCTTTAATACTGTTTAAATTTCAAATGAGAAGATATAAAATTCACCCCTTCACTATCATTGGCCTTTGTGTGTAACTGTATGTGTTTGTGTTTTACTACAGCTAAAGGACACAAAGTCAGCGGACCAAAAGACCACATTGCTCCACTTCCTGGCACATGTATGTGAGCAAGATTTTCCAGATGTGATTAAGTTCGTTGAAGACCTACAGCACGTGGACCGTGCTAGCCGAGGTAACATAAATTGTTATTCGTATGCACAAACCTGCACACAGATGCACACAATGTTATGGTACGTTAATTATGTCTCATAGAAACAACCAGATTTAATACGATAGATATAAGAAAAAAAATACTTTGCTGTTCACTTGCACCAAGGCATTGTTCCTCTTTTTTAAGCACGCAATGATCACTATGCACAGTGCTGCCGTCTACCTCCCACTCTCCTTGAGCCGATTCTGCAGTGTGATTATTGCTGTTATTTTGGTTTCCTGCTGGTGTCAACTAAAGTTCTTTAGCTTTCCCATTGCGCAGGGAGTTTCATCCATTCCCTGTCAAATCAACACCCTGGCAATATTTACCAGCAGGGACGTTGCCAACTGGTCCAATGAATGCAAAATTAGTAATCAAATAGCTGGACTATTCTTTGAGCAGACAAAAGGTATACAGACACAAAACTATATTGTTTATTTTTCTTTTTTTCTCCCTCTGTTTTGCAGCTTTGTTTGACAAGCTGTCTGGAACTGAAAAATGTCAGCCTTTAGGTTTGACTTCAATGAGAAAAAGCCTTTTATGTTATCTTCTGTCCAGCATGTTGTTTAGGCAACTGAGGGCACGCTATTAAAACTGAAAACTGAATAATATTTTAGAAAGAACGCTTTGGCTCCTTGTTTGATGGTGGCCATTAAGCGTTATCGCCTGATATAAACAATTGTAATGGTGTGGTCAATGGCAGTGGTAGATGATTGGAAAGGTGAGCCTCATGAAAAGATAATGAGCTCCATGGGTCGCCCAACCATATAAACGACTGACATCACAAACTTAATCACATTTTAACATTGTGTCATTTCATATCTCTTAAGTTCAACCATTAAAGTCCATGAAAAGAAATTACTTTTACATGAGCTGCTGTGAAATAACCTCAATGGTTTTGGTGGTTGAGAGACTGGGTTTGATATCACTCCACCCAAACACACTAGTAGTCTTGCATGAAAATGACATTCAGTCACATCTGGTTTTTATATTGTCTTACATTATATTTTATTAATGTTGCAAATGATAAGCAATAGATTTCTGAATTTGTGCAGAGATCCTTAAAGTTTATGGTTTGGAGAGGTTAATGCAGAAACGTGTCCTACAGAATGGACCATTATTCTCTTTGTGTTTAAGTTCCTTTCTACATTTGTACCTTTCTACATTTGTAACTCATTAGGGATAATTCTCAGATTTCATGCTTGTTTATTCTGTAAACAGGCATTATATTTTACCAGATTTTGTGTTTGATCTATGCTACACACTTCCTCTGCAATGCTTTTTGAAACTCACCTTTAATCTTCTGCTGTTGCACATCTGCAAGAGCTTTGGGCTTTTTTTCCAAGAGACTACGTCGGGTCAATGTACTGTTGTAGCATCAATTTGAACAAATTGGCTGTTTTCTGTATCGTATGAGGTGCACTCATTCACACAAACATGTGCAGAGTTTGGTCAGTGTTATCTTGAATGTGGTAAAGGTCACAAGCAAGCGGGGACACACTGGGTGGCCAGAGGAGAATTGTTCATGATGTATTTTGCTCATATTGCCATGAGCAAGTCTCAGGCGTAAGCGGTGAGCAGCATCACTTATTGCTCATGTTGTGGAGATCTGAATCTGTTCACTAAATTAATTATGGGACAAAATACTTCTCCCCATAATGAAAACTGTGACTGTTCTCTTTCTTCCATTGTGTTATGTTTGTTAGTCTATGTAAAAGGTCGAAAAGAAGCCCAACTTCTAAGTAAGACAGGTAAAGCGTGAGCAGAAGCCAAACATTTCCTGTGCGCCAGCTGGACAATCTGGATAATTGTTACCCATAACAGGAATAGAGTTAGTGCAGAGTTATGTGCAGTGTGCACGTACAATTATACTGTCACAACATGTTTCTGGGGCTCCAGAGAAGATTCTATCCCCTTCACTGTTCCCAGCAGGAGTGAGTGAAGGAGACGGTGAAAACACATAGCAGGACTGACGTGTGTGTCTTTCATCCTTTTACTCTTCTTCGTAAGGTTTTGTTGGGGCTTTGATAATCTTTGGATAACGATGCCCCTGTTGACATTTTTCACTTCTCCCAAGTGCTACATAACCACAAGTCTTTAGCCAAGACTCATGGGTAGAAGGTGTGATCAATATGAAGCTCACTCCTTGGATCTCTCCTCAGGCTTTGTTCTTGTGCTTACTTCATTGACCACAAGCTGAGTATATATTTGCATCTTGATAGATGTAGTCCTCTTCCTCCGTCACTGTCTTCCTCTGTGTTTTTGTTCAGTTAAGAGAAGCACTCACTAAGTGTCTCATCTCTTCATATCTAGTGTTCAGACACACAAATCCCATCTCGTCTTTTGAAACCACCCTTTTGAGTGGCTTCCTTTTCATCAGGCCTGACAGTCATTCGGGGGGCCTGAAAATACACTAAAAGGCTGCATTACATTCATAGACACTCACCAAAGAGCTTACTTGAGCATGAAAACAAGGTTGCATCGAGGTAGCGGTAATGATTTGTGCTTCGGTTGTAAAAGGTGCAGTCTTTTGACTGTGTGTAACATAGCCTCCGTTTCCCCCCACTGCCAATCCCGTCTCTCATGGAAACAAAACTGCAGTTTATTTCAGGGTTCCTTTGTGTCTGTCTTCTTATTTCTGCTGCCCTCTCTTCTTTTCAGCATCATAATCATTATTTATCTTGACATGGAGAAGCAGTTCTAGTGTGCTGCTTCTCTCTGTCATTTCCCATGTTCCTCTGGCTCTCCCTGTGAATCCATCTTTCTTTGCTATTTCATTCATCAGTTGGGCTCTCTTTCCCTCTTCCGTCCTATTTCTATTTCTTTAGCCCCTCTTCAGAAACATGGATAATTCACAGCAGGCAGGTTTGAGCAACAAGGGTGTATCTTGTATGGCACTTGGTGAAATCAGGCAAATCATAGAGACGTACAGTATTAATGTGTGAAACCAAGCTCCTTCAGCTCGCAGCTCTTCAAATAGTGCCTGTCAACAGCTCAAGCATCTCTTACTTGGAAAGCTTTGCATAATACTAAATAGACATGTCTGCATTAATTTTATTTTGCAGTAAAGATGGAAAAGCTACTTTGGTTCAGTTTCTGTTTAAGGCTTGGAGCCCTGAGGAGTCATTAAGAAGTAATGCGATGGCTCAAGTAAAATGAGACTGTTCTCGCACATGCGGCTCAAGCTTCACTTCGCCACATGCAGTATGAGTGATGAGCCTCAGTTTGAAAGTATATAGAATGAGCAGTGAAATGTTCATGTTATTTTTCCATGTAGCAGGTGCACATTGAGTGTAGGTTTTTTTCAGATTACAATTTCTACAGCACCCAGCACCATCAGTCTACACACTTGTCTGTCACGCTTTGGTCTCTGAATGCATATCTGCTTATTTCAGTCTCTTAATTTCGATGCATCAAAGGATGGTCTATAGTGGAGCTCTGCATGTAGCAGGGCTGTTTGTGAGAGAGTATGCATGGTTGTGTGCTCCACTCAGTCTCATTTATAGCACAGCAGGTTGGGAGGGTAATAAAAGGGTGTCAATGGGGGATTTGACCTCTGCAAATATTCCAATTATTATTCCGCTAAAACATCCTACATCTGTCTGCTGCCCCTCTGGACCACAAAGGCATTCAGGCGCCGCTGCTCTTAAAAAGCACTTGCACTTTAACACACCACAAGAGAAAGAAAGAGCAGGATGGCGAACAAGAAGGACACAGACTAAACATTTCAGCTGCTATACTAACACTGCTGATCAGTCCATGAAAAAATGCTCTCCAGAAACTTTTGACACCTGCATGTTTCCTCTTGTTCATATGCCCTTCCGTACGAGCAGGCATCATCATAATTGAATTGTGAAGCTAAAAAAAGAAGAAATCTCAATCTGTTCTGCTCTCTGTCTCACCCTTCGTTGCACTTTTCACAGCTAGAACATCCAAGACTTAAAGCATTTATATTAACAGACCGCCTGTCAGGCTACCTTCCACTTCTGCATGCTGCCCCCACCTCATTCAGCAGAGAGCGGTTGCTCGGTTTCGCCGAAGGCTTCCTTTTTTTGTTTTTCAAAAAAGAGACAAAGATTTTAATGGGAGGAAACAGCAGGTTAAGTGTCAGTTTCTGATGGTTTACTATAACATCTATCATACTTATCATATTGATTGTGAAATCCTTGATTATTTGGTCAAAGGTTTATAGTTATTGTAGTTGAGTCTTGATAGAATCCAAAGAATTTCTGTAAACAGATCACCAGGTTTTAAGCTGCAGGGCAGATCAGTATCGAGACCTTTATATTTCCGATTTGTTTTCCCGCTCTGAACTGGCACGCTAATAGAATATCTATGGAAATGTTCAGAGCTTGTGTTTCGTTTCAGGGAGATAATGGATTTGACAGTTGAAACTAGTTCTGTTTTTTAGGGTGTGATATTTGAGAGCTTTGAAGACAATAAAAAAACAGCATCTGTATGTTGCTGCATTGCATCACTCTATCCTCCTGATATATCAATCAGCCACAGCAATAAAACATGTGACTGGTTTTAATGTGGTGGCTGATCAGTGTTTTTCTTCCTAATTGCTTTCAATGTTCCTCATGGAAAAAAGAGCATCATCAACGCTTCTGCAGGGGAAAGTTAACCCCTACAGGTTTCTTCTGCTTTTTTACTGCCCAGCATGGCAGGCTGATTTCAGTCGATCAGTATGAGCAACTTGCTGCTCTGTGAATACTGTTCTGATTGAGACACCAGGAGCCACAATGTACGCTGTGACAAGACTGGAGTGCTTCGCCATTTTCACTGCCATCGACTGACTGTTAACTATTCGTGTCAGTGCTTCAGAGACAGGGAAAGAGAGATGAATCAAAGAAGAGAGACAAAGAAATTCCTTAGATTAAAAAGATTACATGTTAAAATAATTTTTCTGGTACATATTCAGGAGCTGTGTTGTGAGTGTTATACGATGATTTCATTTTAAATACTTGTGTTACTGAAGAGCTCTCTCTTTCTCAATCATGAGTGACAGCACAATGAAAAGTGCCCCCCCGATGAATCAGTATTTTGTCTACATATGTTCACACACTCACCTTTACCTGCTCTCAAAAGAACATACAGCACTCACTCACTATTGAATAAAAAAATTAAAGAGAAATTGCGCAACGTCTTCAGCTTCTGCATAGAATATGTGTATTAAAGATGATTTATTAAAGAATCGTGTGTGTGTGAGAGACAGCTTGTTCACATCATTAAATAGCATTTTTGATATAAATGCAGTGAGGAGTTTAGCTACAACAAAGTTCTCCTTCTCTCTTTTTCTTCTTTTTTTTGAAAAGCGTTTATGAGGATCAAGGAAATTTGAAACTACTTTAATATAAGCAGCTTACGCCTTTTTGTCAAGCAGGGTCTAATCAGGGTAATTTAAGCCATATGCTATATTCAGCGACTAGCTTAAAGTGTCAGCCATGACCAACTTAACAGAAAGTTGGGCTCTGTGGTCTCCTGCTCTCCTACCTAAATGATCCGTGCTACCTGTTGATACGAGTAAAGACCCTGTGGCTTGGAGAGATTTTTGAAATGAAACCATCAGTCTTCATACTTTGAGACTGCACTTTTCAATCAGTTGCTCTGTTTGTGTCACTGAAAAGCCACACACATCATGTAACATACAAATAAACACAGCAGGCGTCTGCTTTCACTACAGTGTGTGTGTCAGTAAGGGCACTGTACTCTAACACAAATCTAATTGTTTATGACACACACAAAAGCATATGTGAGGTGAACATTGAACGTACCTGCACTTGATGTTTATTTTTCTCAGTTATTGTTTATTCCCTTGGTGTTTCTGGCAGAGTGAATTCATAATAAGCATGCTTTTCAACTGAGCTGGCTGCTCTCTCCTTTTCCCTGTTCCCTTTTTAGTATGATGTTTTTCTCCGGTTCTTTCAGAGCATCAAAATAATAACATTTGATTGTACCTGTAAGTGAGTTGTCCTCTCTCTCTCTCTCTCTGCTTCTTTCTTTTCTACATTTGCATGTGGGTATGTTTGCGTGTGCTTTAACAAACGTGCGTGTTTGTGTCTGGATATACGTGTGCAGTGTCTGCGGAGAATCTGGAGAAGAGCCTCAGGCAGATGGAGCGGCAGCTGCTGCAGCTGGAGAGAGACCTGGACACTTTTTCTTCGCCTGATGACCCCAACGACATGTTCCTCACGAAAATGGCTATATCCTTTTATAATTATAATGATGTTTTTAATACATCCATTCACTCACTTACTCATCCAAGATATTAGTCTGATTACACGGATATTAATCAAACCAATGACTATATATTCATATAAAGAAGGACTACGCACCTCCACTTAAAAAAAAATAAGGCCTGACTATCACGTGAATAGTTGCCACCATCTTGTGCTGGAGAAAGAGTCGGCACAGTAGAGATTGTGGAGGGGAGCTGCGATATCGAGGTCCCTTCAATGAGCATGCTTGACCAATCATGAGTCTGTCTCAGCTGTCAATCATGATAACCCTGTTTTTATTAAGCATCAAATAACTAATTAAAACCAAATTTACTGGAAAATGAACACTTGAACATACAGTGGTTTGATAAAAACTGGTGTGTAGTTTTTAGTTAGGTCCATGTCCCATCCACTAACATGGCTGAGGTGCAGTCAAACTGAATGTGTTTACATCAACTACATTGGTGCTACATAGGCTAGCAATAGAGCAGGTTTCCACACCGTAGCATATGAAATAACTTACATTAAATAGTGAAGGAACTTTAACATCTTAAAGATATTTTATTTACCTTTTGCAAAATTAATTATGAATCTGTTGAGTTCAATTAGTTGCAGATGTTCACACTCTTGGAAATCACTCAAGAAAAGAAACGACATAGAATAGTGTTAAAAAGTAAATGTGTGACAAGAAGAGTCCTCCCAGCCTTAGTCTTTTATCTACAGTACACTTGTTTTTCTACTCACCATGATGTGTACAAGTCATGAGTGGCATCCCATTCAATGTTCAAGTTACTGGACCAGTACCACTCTCCTCTCTCATTTGTGTGTACTTCACACTGAGGACAACTTCAAAATGAAGGGAAAGGTTGGAGAAGGAGCATTGGGACAAAGCCTCCATTGTTTCTCTGTCACTCTCATGCTCTCTCGTTCTGTCAGTCATTGCTGTATGTTCATGGAAAAGGAGCAATGTAATGTAATTACTGATATAAAAAACATGAATACACAAATGTTTTTTTTAGTGTTACAAGCACCTCACTGTCCTGTCTGGATATAAAGATCCAGTGCTGACAGGTGTCAGGTACATCTCAGACCAGGTGTGTGAGTGTGTTCAATAATACACCCTGTACCCGGCCGCCTTCATGTAGTTTTGATCAGTAGCCTTGGGGCTGGGCCACTGATGGATTGTGTTGTTGGTAGTTAGCAGAGAACTTGAGTATAACACAGAGAATGGATTTGACAGGTCCGTCTTTCACTGGTTCGCTTTCCAATTCCTGGTGCCTGTCTCATCTTAGCAACGCAGATTAGAAACGCAAACATCAACACGGAATTTGAAAATGAAATCTGTGCTGTTGGCCCCTAATAAAATCAACTGTAGATAAAATTAAACAAATTAAACAGAGTGTCAGGGGTGTAATTTTCAGCAATAGAAACACAATCGCTTATACACACACTCGTCAGGGTTTAACTGTATCACAGACAAATATTTAACTTGGTGGTGGCATTGCTTACACTATGATCATATTTTTAGGACCTCAGTCTTTCACACAGAGTTCAACATAAATCTGTTCTTTCATGCTTTTGTTTGCTGAGAAAACAGAACCACAGCAGTTTTAATTGGTAGCCCAATTTATGGCCACAGTCTACAATCGAAAGTAATGAATATCAAGAGATGTGATATTGATTGAACTGC